GACAAAATGATCAGACCCAGCTGTGCCCACCTGGAAACTTGGTGTAGCATCAGCACAGGCTGGAGGGATGGAGGGAGAGGTTGCCGTGGTCCCCAGGATTTCTATCACCAATTAATTTATCTGTCTTGGAGCTGGCTTTGAGGGCACATCCTGGGCCTGATATTGAGCCCAGGAGAAAGGAAACTAGGACTACTGCTGGTGTGCTGTCCATCCTGCACCTTCTCTGACCAATGCAGTGGAGGTGGTGTTGAGTGTGGTGTTGGAGGAACCCAGAACAATATTCCTGGTGATTTCAACATCCATGCTGAGGCTGCCTCTATTGTTCTGGCTCAGGATTTCATGACCTCCGGGTCTGTGACTTAGGGCATGTTTTACACCCTCAAGTTGATTTTTGCTCCAGAAGGAAGATTATCCTGACCCTTTCAACCTGGGCCGAGGCCTTCTCATGGGACTAAATTGGACTTGGTTACCCTGAGGGAATGAACATTATTGGGGGAGGGACAAAGAGAGTGTCACCCTGTTATTCTTACTTGACTTTTGATACCCATTCACTATGGTATCCTTCTGAGATGACTTGGTGGGTTAGGTATTGGAAGCACTGTTTTACAGTTCTTCCAATCCACTTCAAGGCTTGGTTTCAGTGAATAGCACTGGGGTGATTGTCTTTCAGCCCCCTGGCAGTTGTGCTGTGTGGTGCTGCAGGGTCCCATCTTGTTCCCAAGCTGTTTAATATCTATATTGAAGGCCTCTGGGAGAAGTCATTATGATATATTTAGGGCAAGGGTGTCAGTTCAGAACGCTGGTGATACCCATCTCTACTTGTCTGTAACATATGAATCACGACGATGCTGTGCAAACCCTGAACCAGTGTCTGGTCTCAATGGTGGGCTGGATGAGGGCCAGAAACTGTATCTGAATCCTCACAAGATAGAAGTGCTGTTGGTTGGTGGTCCTGAGTCCAGATAATTGGCCAATTGCCTGATAATTGTGCTGATAACCTCTGAGCTTGTAGTATTGCAATGCACTCTGTATGGGGCTGCCCTTGATGTTGGTACAGAGCTGCAAATAATGCAGTATGCAATGGCGTCAAACTACCCTCTGGGGCAGGATGTCGCCAACATGCTGCTCCATGGTTCAAGGAATTGCGCTGGCTGCCAATTAGCTAGTGTGCTAGGTTCAAGGTGCTGGTTTTGGGTATATAAAAGCCCAACACAGCTTGGGACCAGGATGCCTGAAAGATGAAAGACTCCTTATACTACCTAATAAATCACTGCACTTTGCAGGGTGAGGGCTTTCTACAGTGCCACTTATCAGGAGGTCTTCCAACCCCAGGTAGGAATTGGGGCCTTGAATATTGGACAAGCGCCTCTTTAGTCTTTTCGGCACATACTGAAGACCTTCCTCTTCACAAGAGTATTAAGTTGAGATCTTTCCCGGTCTGAATCTCTATTGGAATTGCCTTCTTAATGTGTTTAAATATGTTTCTATTGTTCTATTCAATTCTTGATTGCCACCCTGGGGCTCCTTTGGGAGGAGAGGTGAGATATAAATTTTAAACCAAATCAATCAATCAATAAAATTTCAGTGTGACAAGAAGCAGCAATTGATGTCCACTAACGTAGGTGTCTTACAAAAGGAGGCAAATTCATGGAGCAGAGGTCTACCAGCAGCTATTAGTCATGACCAGCTGGGCCAGAAACTTCCATGTGAGTGGCAGCATATCCGTGTGAAACAGTGAGATCTACTGGGTGCAGCCATTTTGGTTTCATCATTGCCAAAGAGCTTACCCAAACTTGTCAAGTATTCTTGGCAGTGGTCCCCAGGCCTGTGGACTACTGTCTTCCCTGAGGTTAAACTGGTGTTACCGGATTTGGCTGTGCCACGGTGAAAACTTTTATCTCATCAGAAATTGACTCTAGGGTAGATTGGCATATTTTTAATGGACTACATTTGCCAGACAGTTGAGGAGTTGTGCTCACTGATGTTTTTAAAGTTTTGTGTTGTTGTTGTTTTTATAGAAAAAAACCTTTGAATGGACGTGACCTGCCCCAAGGTTGTTTATGGAAGAGAGTGGGAAATAAATCAAATAAATAAATGCTCCCTGCTGAGACTTGTTACCTAGCATGCTCTGTTTGTGAACTTCCCAGAAACAGCTTGCTGGCCATGTTGGGAAACAAATTCTGGACTTAAGCGAATCTTGGTCTAATTCATAAGGTCAGCTCTGGTGCTCATGCTTGTTAAGAACACAAGAACTGACCTCTTGAATCAGACCAAGACTTTCCAGGTCCAGGGGGGATGGAGTGTGGTCCTCATCACTAAAATCACCCGCATTGATCCAGTTAGTAGCTGGGAGGAACAGCCTATACGCCAATGTATATGGACAGTCATGACAACGAACTCCAGCTTAGACTTTGCTTAGATGGAAAATATGCAGAACTGGTTTGATTAATGACCACAGTGAGACAGGAAAAAAATGAATACATATACTATGGACCACTATAATAACCCTACCATCTCCACATCTGTGAGAAGTGCACTGGTGCTGTTCAGGCTCATGTCTCCAAAAGATCAAAAAAAGGAACAGATTTTACTATTAGATTTTGCTCACTGCTGTGCAGCATCCCTCTCCTTGCATATCAAGGAGGTAAGTTAGCAAAGAAAAGTGTATAACAGCACATGTTTTGCATATAGAAAGTTCAAGGTTCATTCATCGCAATCCTCTGTTTAAGGCTCTTGAGTATCAGAATTTGAACCCTGAAGAGGAGAAACTCGCTAGATGATGAGTTTTGAAATGGTGGTGGCTGCCTTAATATGCTATACAGTTGACTGTTAATCCCTCTTCATTCACATTCACTTGAGAAGAGTTCTGCTGGATGTCTATGAGAAGTCTATAAAACAGGACACGCGTATACTCCCTACATGCGCTGCATGACATTCTTCCTTTTGCCCTGATTCTTCCAACATTCAGCTTCAAGGGATGGTCCCAGGTGTTTGGAGAGATACTTTTTTGTTCTTACCACTCTGAACAATTGGGTGTCATCAGCAAACTTAGCCACATAACTCATATCATTTATTAACGAGTTTAAAAGTACTGGTCCCAATGCAAATATTTGGGGGACCCCACCTCTTAATATCTCTGCATGGAGAACATGTGCATCTATTCCTACTCTGCTCCTGTTCTTTAACCATTTACTCCATAGAGGACCAGCCAAGCTATTAGGCAACTTTAGTAGAGGACTTCCTTGAAAGTTTTCTGAAAGTTCTAAGTACATAATGCCCATTGTATGACCCCCTATCTATATGCTGTTGACCATTCAGAGACCTCTAAAAGGGTTAGTTAGACAAGATTTACCCTTCTGGAAGCCATGCTGGTCCTTCAGCAAGGCTTGTTCTTCTGTGTGTTTGGAATTCTAGCTTTAAATATACTTTCAGCCAGTTTTCCCTAAAACAGATACTAAACTAACTAGTCTGTAATTTCCCAGATCTTTCCTCTTTTAGAAAGTGTGCTCAAGTATGGATAATGATCTTAGGGCAAGTTACATAGTTTTGTTAGAAGAGTAGCAATTTCACATTTGAGATCTTTAGGAACTCTCAGGTAATACCCTCTAGATCCCGTGATTAAATTTTCCAATTTGTCCATAGGCCTATAGCTCCTGAAGTATGTGGCGTTCTGCCTTTATTTAATGTGGTGGGTTTGAACAAATTGAGGAGACTTCTACCTTCCACAAGCTGAAGAGAGGTCTCTTTCAGCACGTGTAGTAACTGGTTGTATCTAAATATGCTTCCCTTCTGCCAGCTAACACTTCCACCCTATCCTATTTCAAATGAGGAATTATCCAGCGGACGTGCTTAGGGTTGCCATATTTTGAAGAGCAAAAAGAGGGACATATTTGCCGACTTCTACTTTAAACTATGGAACGGGCTATATGACTCTACTCATGGAAAAAGAGGACATGTCCTGGAAACAAGAGGACACATGCACTGGTGAAGGAAGAGGAGTGCCCCCGGCAGCATGTTCCTGGTGGGGTGGTGCCATCGTGGCTGCCCCCCCCACCCGCGCTAGGCGCCATGCCCCAAGGACGCACGCCACACCCCCAGGATGCGCACCAGCCTCGCCCTACCTGCTTCTCCATCCCCTGTGCTGGAGCATGAAGCTCTGCCACTGGACACATGGCAACCTAATGTGCCACAATGTCATATATTAGTGCAGGATAACTTAGGGGTATATTCTATCTAATAAATGTTATGTACTTCCCCTATATACTTGCTGTGGCTGGGCAGCTCAGTCGGTGGAACATGGAAGTTAATCTCAGGGTTGTGGGTTCAAGGGAAAAGGTTCCTGCATTTAAGGGGGTTGGGCTAGAGTGACCCTCCTGGTCCCTCCAACTGTACAATTCTATGATTGTGTGGTCATATATATATAACTGGGAGTAAGCTCCATTGCACTTCCATCTAGACTATGATTCTAACGTAGGCCCCCTATAGCGATGGGGAGGGGGAAATGCAGCATTTCGAGGCTTTCAAGCGCAGGGCGAGGAGGGGAAAATTTAAACCTGGCTTTTAATAAGAAGCAGCAGTAGCTCAGCTTCTTGTCGGGCTCCGCGACGACTCCTTGGTCTGAATTTGTGGCCTTGGCGCAGAGGGAGAGATCCCGCTCGCCTCCTCCCTTTCCCGCTGCCCCCCACCTTTCCCCAAATCTCTTTCCAGGATTTATTGCGCGCATCAAACCTCTCGCTGGGGGGAAACGAATCGCCGCTTGGAGACGCCCCGGGAGAAACGTGGAGCCGGCGATGATGTCGCTCCGGGATGAAAGGGAGCCGAGGCAAGTGATGTCAACGTGCGTGCCTGGGGAGTAGAGCGCCCCCATCCCCCCGGCCCGACGGACGGCCCCGAGCGAGCGACCCCGTTCGCGCGTCATCGGCGGCACCGCTTATAAAGCGGGTCCGGCCAAGTCGGCTTCTGCCTGCAACCTCCTGGCTCCGAGCTGAGCGCAGAGCAAGGCAGGGCTGGCACTCGGCTCCCTCGCCGCCTCTCCAAAGGAAAACCGACGGCGCGCCCTCCGCGAAGCTCTCGGGCCATGGCGACGGTGGCTCTCTTGGCGTGGCTGGGGCTGTGGCTGGGGCGCGCCACGTCGGGGCTGCCCGGCTCTCCCTGCGAGCCGGTGCGCATCCCCATGTGCCGCCACATGCCCTGGAACATGACCCGCATGCCCAACCACCTGCACCACAGCACCCAGGAGAACGCCGTGCTGGCCATCGAGCAGTACCACGAGCTGGTGGCCGCCGGCTGCAGCCCGGTGCTCAGCTTCTTCCTGTGCGCCATGTACGCGCCCATCTGCGCCGTCGAGTTCCTGCACGACCCCATCAAGCCCTGCAAGGCGCTGTGCCAGCGCGCCCGAGACGGCTGCGAGCCCCTCATGAAGAGGTACAACCACAGCTGGCCCGAAGCCCTGGCCTGCCAAGACCTGCCCGTCTACGACCGAGGGGTCTGCATCGCCCCCGAGGCCATCGTCACGGATCTGCCGGAAGGTGAGGTTGGAGAGGAGAGCTCCACGGGACGGGGCGGGCAGGAGGGCACGGACTTGTCTGCGCCCCGGACAAGGACGAGTCCATGGGAGGTTTGGAGGCAGAGGCTGGACGACCACCTGTCAGGGATGCTTCAGTCGAGATTTCTGCAGGGCGAGAGGTGGACTAGATGAGCCTGGGGGTCCCATCCCGCTCTACCAGTCTATGATCATATATATCTTTACCTGGGAGTAAGTTCGATGGCCCTTAGGTCTGTGAGAGCCCCAGGCAGGTCTCCCAATTGAGGCTGGCGCACCCCAACCTCGTTGCCGGAGAAAGATGCCCCCGCGATTTCCGTGGGACTTGCTTTTCCCCTTGGCGGCCTGATCCCGGGTAGCTTTCCTCGGACGCAAGCCTCCCCGCAGAGGAGGAAACGAGGCAGGTCAGATCTTCCCTCGAGGTTGGGACGCCTTGCCAAAGGGGTCCCACCTGGACGCAAGTTCAGCCTCCCTCGGAAACAAGGGCAGCAGGTGCGCTCCCTTATCATTAATAACATTTATTTATGCCCCGTCTTTTCCCCCGACAGAGACTCAAGGCGGCTTACAGATTAAATAAGAACAGCTAAAAAGTGCAGCTAAAAACAAACAATTAATCATAGAAT